GTTTATCTTTGGTGTCTTTCAGGTCAGTAATATCCAAGCTTATTGGCACTTTTTTTTTCATTGAGGTATAATGGCAAGTTTTATGTTGTAGCAACTATTTAATAAATAGGATGAAGGTAAATGTATTTTTATTTGCATGCAATAAAATAAAACCTGACTCTAGCTCCTGGGGCAGTCTATTCCACATGTTCACAGCCGTAACTATTAAGAATCCTTTCCACATGCAAAGGTTAAACCTCTTTTCCTCCAGACGCAAAGACTGCCCCCTTGTCCTTTGCTGTGACCTTAACGTGAATAATTTGGCACCAAGCTCTTTATATGGACCATTTATGTATTTATACCTGGTGATCATGTCCCCCCTTAATCGCCTCTTCTCCAGAGAGAACACATTCAGGTCAGCTAATCTTTCCTCATAGTGGAGCTCCTCCATACATCTTATCAGTATAGTCGCCCTTCTCTGCACTTTCTCCAGTTCTATAACATCCTTTTTGTGAACTGGTGGCCAAAACTGAACTGCATATTCCAGATGAGGTCTTACTAATGCTTTGTACAAGGGCAGGATAATTGACCGGAATCTAGACCCCGTATAATACAAGAAAGTATTTTGTTTGCTTTAGAAACTGTGGCTTGACATTGCATGCTATTATTGAGTCTATGATCTACCAGAACACCCCAATCTTTCTCCATCATTGACTCCTCCAAACATACTCCCCCCTAGAGAGTGTATGACGCATGCATGTTTTTAGTCCCCAAGTGCAGAACTTTACATGTATCAACATTAAACCTCATTTGCCAAATAGATGCCAATCACACAGTGCATTCAGATCTGCTTGTAGGATGTAGACATCATGTAAGGACTGTATTCCACTACATAACTTAGTGTCATCTGCAAACACTGAAATTGTACTTTTAATCCCCAATTCTATGTCATTTATAAATAGATAAAAAAAAGTAAGGGGCCCAACGCTGAACCTTGGGGGGCACCACTGACAACGCTGAACCTTGGGGGACACCACTAACAACACTGAACCTTGGGGGACACCACTAACAACACGGAACCTTGGGGGACACCACTAACACTGAACCTTGGGGGGCACCACTAACAACACTGAACCTTGGGGGACACCTAACACTGAATTTTGGGGGACACCTAACACTGAACCTTGGGGGACACCACCAACAACCTCAGCCCATTCAGAGTAGGAATCATTGATCACCACTCTCTAAATACGGTCTTTAAGCCAGTTTTCTACTCAATTACAGATGGAATACTCTTTACCTACTGACCTTAACTTATACATTAGCCGCATGTGAGGAACTGTGTCAAACGCTTTTGCAAACTCCAAGTATATTATACCCACAGCCATTCCTCTGTCCAATTTATTACTCACTTCCTCATACAAAGTTTGAGAACTTCTGTCTTCTGTGAATCCGTGCTGATTATCGCTTATAGTCAGTTTTGAAGTATTTCTTTTTTTTAAACTTATTTCCAGAGAATACAGCCCAGCTCACAAGGCATGCAGGTCCCTCTAGCACCACAGGTATGATGAGCCCCCTCCATGCAGATGTCAGCCCGTACACCGAGGAGCACTGGATGGATGAGTCTAGACGAGGATTTCTCAAACCCCAGTTGGGTGACGGTTACACATCCCGTTCTTTATAAGAGATTTGGTAAGGGCTTTTTTTTTCTGATGTGATCTGAAGCCAATAATGTGAAACTCCAGCACAAACCTTGTTTTTTGTTTGTGTTTTGAATGCAGTGTTGATGGGTTAAAACATTTCATGACAGCTGTATCCCCATTGGGGCCAAAAACCTCCTGTCTTGGTGACAGGTGTCCTAGGAACAGGAAGTTGGATAGAATCTCTCCAATGTGGACAAAGATAGTAACAGAAACATTTGTTAAAGTGTGGGGGAAAGTTGGAACGCTTTGGTCTTTATTACTGTCTCTATGTTTTTGTTCTGGTGACAC